TTGTACAGCGCTGCTGGATGCTCAGAAGCACGCGCTACATAAAATTATATTATTATTATTATTATTATTATTATTATTATTATTATTGAGATATACCTGCCGATGAGTTGTCTTCTCCCTGGGCTAAAATCATTTCACTACTTCATTGATGATTTTCTAATAAGCGATCCAGAATTTACAGACCAAATTTCAGATCTCTCAAGAGTTGGCATTGTTCAGTTTTCACAGGGGTCGTGATAATGTATTAAAATAACAAACTTAACAAAAACGTTTCTTTTTTTTTTTTAAATCTGTCTGTCATGATTCGAGCAGTTCCCCTGAATAAGCGGAAACCTGTGGAGTATTTGAGATTGCCAACAAGAAATGAGCAGTCCGTAAGAGATGGGGAAGGTCGTCTTCCAAGAAATTTAGGCAACAATGACATTACCAAACTCCTGGACGACTTGGACAATCAGACGGAGGCCATAAAGAGTGGCCAGCAGATTGGTGAAGAGCTTTTAGGAGATAAAAACGAGACTGGAGGTAGTTCATTCATAAACGGTATGACAACGCGTACAATGGTTTTTCAGACAATAGGTTTCTTCTAACAACAAATTGACACACCCTTAATGTCAAGTTGTGCTTTTTAAATATATATTAGCCTCAACTTGAGTAAAAATGTGTTTTTTACTGTTAGAACATAATCAGAAAAACACAGACAACATTGCAGAGGAAGTAACAGGTATGCAGTGTATGTCAAATCTTATATCTGTGCATGTCAAATCTTATATCGGGGTTGTCACCCTAAGAGTGATGTCACATGTAGTGAGCCAAAGTGCAATGCGTATATGAAATAGTTAGTCTGTGATCGACTAAAAACAATGGTTGCAGCATATGTGCACATCCTGCAGTACTCATATCAAGATGTTGATTTGTATTGATCAGAAAATGAGCCTAGCATAAAGGAAATGCTTCTTCGGAGTACAGCAGATTACACATGAGCAGCAAAACAGTAAGAGATGAAAACTGTAGCATTCAAACCTGTAGGACAGGGTGCCAGTTCCAAAAAAAATATTGAATCTATGATGTGTTAATATATTCTATCGACAAAGAAAATACCTATCTTAGTCAGTTGCACGATCAATTAGAACTTTTGAAAGAAACTTGTAGTTTTGTCGTCCAATTTTACATTGAACAAGCCATCTCACTTTTTATCAAGGACACTTGTCAAAAAAAAAATTGTTTCTATGTAATGAATGTACCCTTTCAATCTCCGTTGACACTAAATGAGTAAATAAATATCTTAATTGACCACACCCACAATTAGGTTTTTCAGAGCCTTTGGAAACAGACAATGAAACAAATATTGTAGATAACATAAACTGGTTAAAAATCCCGACCTGCAGGAGGAAGACCAAGTTGGCTTTTTACAAGCGTGGCCGAGGAGTTGAACTCGGAACTACCGAGAACAAATCCATCTTAGTGGTCAGAATGGGACTAAACCCGCGAACTCGGGATTTCAAGTCCGGCACCCTAACCACTCGCTCGGCGACGCTGTCTCTCTAGAAAACGTTATTCAGGAGAACTGCGCCTTTGAAAGCTTATTATAGATTATAGTGTTTTACTGTACACTTATGCCAAAATAAGGATTTTCATTACCTCCTCTCCTTTCAACTAAATACACGATACTTTTTCGTCGATAATTTTCAGATAGCGCCTCGGAGGCAGTGAGAATAGCAGACGCCCCGGTGCTGGTTGATACAAACGGAGTTCCAGAGAAAACAACAGCTGTAGAGAGTGGAGCGTCCTATTTGGCTGGCAAACCTCTGTTGATACTTAACAAAGAAAACAAAGATCCAGATGTAAACAAGTGGTTTCTCTACTATCCACTCTCTACAGAATCTGATCAACAAACAGCTTAACAAATGAAGCTTTATTTTGGTATTGTTCTGTTAAATTATGGTAATGTATTACTATATTTCAAGTTTCTAACGTTGCGTGGAAAACTGTGTTGAATGCAGTTTTACGGCACTGGAATTGTATTTTTTATACGTAAGTTGAAAATGGAGCTCGC